GACTGATCCGACATGAAGGTTGACAGAGGTGGACACGTGTACTAATCGAACCGCTAGACCTGCCCATTGAGAGTGTACGCCACTGTACGGCATTAAATGACAGCGTCCGGGGAACACCCCGGACGACACGCTCGCTTCCTACTGGAAGGAATGGGGACCCACCCACCATTTGTGTGGAGCCCCCTGCGGGTTCGATTCCCGCGCGAGTGTTGCACGCTGCCCGACAGGCTACATTTGCGTGCTAGGCTTCGCAATCTTCATTTTCCTACGAAGTGCGTGTGTGACATACACGCCGTACGCATCGTATGTGCACTACACCGTACACGCTTTGCTGTGTCGTATACGCCCTTAAGCGCCGTACGCCCTTAAGCGCCGTGCGCGGAGGAGTATGTGCTTCTGAGGGCCGCTTGCTTGCTGCTGGGGATACTTGCTGCGGAGTGTCTGATTTGCGTATATACCAAGCAGCCCTCCCGAGCATGGCGCATAATGATTCCGCGCAATGCAGGAATCAGCCATCAGACAGCACAGGAGCTACGGCCCACTCGCGCGAACAGCGCGCTCTAGTCCGTCTGTCCCTCCGTCTGTCCACCAAGTCGTCGGTTCAATCCTGAGCGCGCCGCTTTTTTTTTTGCGCGCCGCTTTTTTTCTTTTTTTCTTCGTATGCTTCATATGCTTCGTATGCTTCATATATGCTTCATATGCACATATGCACATATGCACATATGCAGATATGCTTCATATGCACATATGCACATATGCACATATGCACATAAGCACATATGCACATGACGCGCAATTCGACACGCAATTCAACGTACAATTAGCTGCGGAATTCAACGCGCGCTTTAGCGCATAATTCGATGCGCGCTTCAAAACGCGCTTCCGCGTCGAAATGAATGTCGTACGCGCTTCATACAGCGCGATTCGCACAGCTTTAATTGCGCAATTCGACACGCAATTCAACGTACAATTAGCTGCGGAATTCAATGCGCATAATTCGATGCGCGCTTCATATGAATGCCGTACGCGCTTCATACAGCACGATTCACACAGCTCTAAATGCGCAATTCGATGCACAGTTCAATGTACAATTAGCCGCGGGGATCTCAACGCGCGCTTTACCGCATTATTTGATGCACGCCTCAAAACGCGCTTCCGCGTCGGAATGAATGCCGTACACGCTTCATACAGCGCGATTCGCATAGCTCTAAACGCGCAATTCGACATGCAATTCAACGTACAATCAGCCGCGGGATTCAACGCGCGCTTTGTGCAACGGACCCACCGAAAAACACCCATGCCCACACGACAGCACGACCCAGGGGACGCCTCACAGCCCCGAAGCCAAATCCATACGATATAAACCACTATCGCAATATGTACCCCATGACCAACGCGGCCGTACGGCATAGTATAGCGCGTACGGCATAGCGTAGCATAGCATAGCGCGTACGGCATAGCGTAGCATAGCATAGCGCGTACGGCATAGCGTAGCATAGCATAGCGCGTACGGCATAGCGTAGCATAGCATAGCGCGTACGGCATAGCGTAGCATATCATAGCGCGTACGGCATAGCATAGCGTGTACGGCATAGCGTAGCATAGCATAGCGCGTCCGGCATAGCATAGCGCGTACGGCATAGCATAGCGCGTACGGCATAGCGTAGCATAGCATAGCGTGTACGGCGTAGCATAGCATAGCATAGCGTGTACGGCATAGCATAGCGCGTACGGTATAGCGTAGCATAGCATAGCGCGTACGGCATAGCATAGCGCGTACGGCATAGCGTAGCATAGCATAGCGCGTACGGCATAACGTAGCATAGCATAGCGCGTACGGCATAGCATAGCGCGTACGGCATAGCATAGCGCGTACGGCATAGCGTGGCATAGCATAGCGCGTACGGCATAGCATAGCGCGTACGGCAT